ATGGGAAAACCGACGGTTATGGCGTTGATCTAGAGTCTAGGAGAAATAGTTAATGTCGGTTGGTACCGAATTTCCTGATCGTTTCCAATTGTTTCGTGGAACACTAGGAAAAGTAAATGGACACTTCGTTGTTGGTTCCTCTTATTCTACTAATCATCTGGGGCCTGGCTATTGCTTCTTTTTCCCTTGCTTTTGCTTTTTGATTATTTATCCTATTGGTCATAATTGCTGTATCTCATCTTTCCCTTTATGTGAGATACAAATCTTGATCCCGAAAAGACTTTAGTCTTCTTTGGAAACGGAAATATATGTGAATAATATTTAGTGTTGATGCAAGATTTATAAGCTGACATGCTTTACACGCTCTTCACTTTTTCCGACTCGTAACCTCGAACCCTCACAAAAGATAGAGCACAGTAACCAAACCATTCATTGACAGACGTTAGACGTATAATCGTATCAATCATCTCTTAACGGACATCTCTAATATGTTACCTGATTATTCGTGATTAGTTCAGCATTTGGGCTTGCTTATGTTGGTCTGCTCGAGTCCATTATTTCTTTCCCAGTATATGACTTGCCATGCACGGAGAAGGTTGAGAGAGAACTACTAATTACCACTTGAATGACTCTTAAAGAAAACTGAGAACACAAATCCAACAACGGTATGTCTTTGCCTAAGCATATGAATTCTTTGTACTGCATTAACAAGAATCGAAAGATCTCCAAACGAGGACAAAGTGTACATAAGATTTATTGAAGGGGTTGCAACTTTTTTCTACAATTCTATTACCTGCTTGTAATCCTTTTGGAATTTTTTTTTTTTTTGGATTTTTTTTTCCTTTTGGTAACGCCCACCCGATATTCCTACCTTCTTTGTAACTAAGAGGTCAAGCGGAGAAGGAGTTTAAGGTGGAGGTTGAAGCCATTGGAAAAGTAAGGCATAAGAATTTGGTGGGTTTAGTCGGATATTGCGCTGAAGGTCCTCAAAGGTATTATTCTGTTTACATGGCAATCGTTCTTTCAATTTTGCCTGCAAAAATTCCTCTAAAATTATGTGAATTTTGCTTCTGCGGATCATCCAGGATGCTTGTTTATGAGTATGTTGATAATGGAAATTTGGAGCAGTGGTTGCATGGTGACGTTGGGCCTGTTAGTCCCTTGACATGGGATATAAGGATGAAAATCGCCATTGGGACCGCAAAAGGGTCTGCTTTTTCATTTCTCTGTTTGACTTCATTGGAGATACATTCTGTGACTGAAAAAGGAAAAAAAATGTTATCATGCTCCTTGATTGATCAAATTGACGTTTTTTTCCTACATCATGAAACAGGCTGGCCTATCTGCATGAAGGGTTAGAACCCAAAGTGGTGCACCGGGACGTAAAATCCAGTAACATTCTTTTGGACAGAAAGTGGAATGCTAAAGTATCAGACTTTGGACTAGCCAAGTTATTAGGCTCTGAGAAGACCCATGTGACCACACGTGTAATGGGGACATTTGGGTTAGTTTCTTCCTCAACCTTCTAAACCATTTGGGATTATGATTCTTCTTTCAATACGTGGTATTAGAGATTATGATTCTTCTTTCAACAGCATAATGCCCCGTTTGGATTGATGGAAGAGTTTTTCATGAAACTGGAATCAGAATTGAAATAAGAAATGGAATAGTATTGGGTTATAAAAGCATGTTTGGCATGCAGAATGGCAGATGGAGTCCTTACATTATGTTCAACTATGTATATTTATATATTAAAAGACTAATTTACCCTCTTTTTTTGGGGGGGGGGGGTGAGGTTACAAATGAGAAATCCTTGGAATCCAATCAATTCCATTGTGAGCCCGATGGAATCCAATTCTGCCTTTTTCCCTTGAATCAGGATTCTTGGGAATTGTGATTTGTTTCTACCAAACAACACTTAATGATGATTCCTAGTCTAATGCATTTTGGGCTTGAGGATTCTTTCCTACCAAACGGGGCCTAACGTGTTTTGACTCCTTAACATGACTTGGGAGTCTTTATAACTAAGTGGTCAATGCTTCAACTGAGATCATGTTCATAATGAAACTATACATGGATCTTGACTGATTAAGATGTAGAGTTGAATCTTCACGTAGATCATTTATTTTGTTATTTCATGTTTTTACCACTAATTTTCCACAGATACGTTTCACCTGAGTATGCAAGCACGGGAATGCTTAATGAGGGAAGTGATGTGTATAGCTTTGGAGTTCTACTCATGGAGATAATTACAGGAAGAAGTCCCATAGATTATTCTAGACCACCTGGAGAGGTGATTCCGGGATTTCTTGAGCCTTTTCTTTTGTAGCATACCATGAAACACCGGACTCTTATCCCTGCTTTTGTGCTTTGATGTGGTTCAGATGAATTTGATCGATTGGTTCAAGGGAATGGTAGCAAGTCGTCGTGGTGAAGAGCTGGTAGATCCTTTGATTGAGGTTCAGCCCTCTCCAAGATCTTTGAAACGAGCTTTGCTGGTTTGCCTGCGCTGTGTAGATTTGGACGTCAGTAAACGACCGAAGATGGGTCAAATCGTTCATATGCTTGAGGCAGATGATTTCCCCTTTCGTTCTGTAAGTCTTTTTCCCAGGCCACTCTTCGACATATCCGTGCCTTAATGATATTACTAAAAACAAATCAAGTCTGAGATTTCGAGCATGTATCATATAACTGAATATCTTTGATAAGATATTTAGTTTATATTATGAAAGTGTTGATTTTAGCTTCCTTTGATGTCTAACTACTACTCTTTTGACAGGAACTTCGTACAATAAGAGAGAAAGAGCCCGTTGCTTCTTCGCATTCCACAATTCCCCGTAAAGTTCAATATCCCCCCAAGAATGTGGATTCTATAGAACAGTCAAGATGGAGATGATTGTAATACTGCTTCCTCGTGCCAATTCATCTGGAGGATACCACAATTTTATTTGTTGTAATGTAGTTTGTTTTTGTTTTTCAAAATCACAATGCAATTTAGCGATGTTCGATTTCTTGTATTGCGAGCCATTGTACATCATTTTACAGCGAAGTTGTCCCCCATTTTCCCCCACTGTGCATATATCTTTTTTATAGCGAAGTTTCCCCCCTTCCAGTCAGTTTTTGACACCATTTTGCTGTATTATATTGTTTTGCTAAGAGATTAGCCTTCTTGTAAAGACACGCACCTCTACAGTCTACATAATTTTACTAGCTTGGGAATCCTAGACCCTCACCCAAATGTGTATTTTTTCAAGTGAAAATTGAGCTCGATGCCAATGGCCTCTTCTATTTAATTTATTACCTCTTTTGGGGTAGAGCTGTAGGATTTGAGACAAAAATTGTGTTGAAACCTTTTATTTTAAATGATGAAATCGATAATCAATTTTTCCAGACTACATTTTAAACTGCAGGTAGCTGGTATGGATGGAAAAAAATAGTTTATGGATCATTCTGTGGCAGTTGCGAAACAGGTGAAAGTGTTAAGATACGGGAAGACTTGGGGTTGTCCTGAGAATTCAGTTCCTGTCAATGTCATGGTTGGTAAAGTGGCAAGAGGCAACAGTGACATCAATAGTCATTTTTCAACGATGATCGCCCTTGCCCCTGACATTGAGCTGAGACTCCTATGATTTTGCCTGCAACTTGAAGCTTCCTTCATTCCATCAATTTCATACCGTAACTTAAATAATTGCCTCCTGCCCTCCGTCCTTTAATCTAATTTTTCACATAATTCATCCAATTCTTTGATTTGACTTGTTTGAATGACCGTCTTTTTGTCACCTCAGATTTGAAACATGATTGACCCTCGTGTTGGCGACGCTCAAATTGGTTCCACCTCTATCATTCCAATCACAAACATCAAAGTGGCGTAAAATAGGATCGCCAATCTTTTTCATGTATATGTAGATAAAGAAAAAAGAGACTGGCTTTTGTTGACAGCACATGCTTGCCCAATCCAAAGAAAAGGAAGGCAGTGGAAGTAAAAGTGGGGGAAAAGGAAAACGTGTACGTGCAAGATGCCCCATAGAGACATCCAATTCATTCTTGATTCATGAGAATTCCTTTTCGTTCATTAAATTAAACATATTATTTTCAAACTAGGTTGTAACAAAACGTTGGATTTTGTAAAAACCATTATCTTTCTAACAGGATTTGTACCCGCTCAATTGGGCTCCATCACTTGAATCTCAATCAAGGGTTATTAACCATTTATATTTTGATTTAATGATGTTGAAATAAAAATTTTTGTTTAAAATTTTGAAATGAATTTGTAATTTCTTTGTTAAAAGCATTAAATTAAGATCAGATAATTAAATACCGAGTCAATTGAGGTCATGAGAGCATCCAAATCCTGATGAGATGGGTTTTTTTTTTTTAGGTATAAATATAACCATCTTGTTCTTAACCAATGTTTTGTTCTCTTTATTACTTGCATGATTTTATCCACGCAAAAACGAAAAAAATACAAGTTAAAAAAAGCTAATAACAGGGGAAGTTGGAATTTTGATGAAAGGTTTATCAACCGCTTGCCGATTCCCGCAAAGATGCGAGACTTGTTTGATAGTGTTTATGATGAAAAGGGTCCCACACGTCGAATTGCATCTAGCGGCCCCAAATGAAAGAAAAGCCAAGATTCGCTAGCAAGGTGACACGTGGGGTATCCTAAAAGTTTGCTTTGAGCATCGCCAACCCCGCGCGCTTTTCCAATTCACCTTTCGGCGTTCTCATCCAATCCAATTTAATATTAAAATCATAATTCTCTGATAATTGGTCGATTTCAATAACTTAAATTAATGTATAAAAATTGTAGTATTAATTCATTCAAATGATTTATGAGATGTGCTTAAATTCATAAATCATAATTAAAATGTCCAAACAACTAAGGTTGAGAACAATAATATAGATAAAACTTAAGATATTATTAATTAATATAAAATAATTAAAAGACTAAATTTTTGGAATTTTTTCTTTCTTTTTTTTGGGGGTGGGGGGTCGCCGGGCTAACACTCGCGTTAACGGCCTCATCTTTCCGGGCGCAAGATCTATTTCTATTCCCTCTCATTCATTTCACTCACTAGTTGCCAAGATTGGCTCTGAGCTATCAGCTATGGACCAGAAGCTGATTGAGAGGTTGGAGTCGGCGGTGTCGCGCTTGGAGGCGCTATCGACTGGATTCCATTTGCGTGGTGGAGACTCTGCTGCTCTATCCGGCGCCGATGTGGCGGTGGATCCATCGATTATTGCCTTTGGCGATCTGATGGACCAGTATATCGGCAGGTTTTCGACTGCTGCAGGGAAGATTGGAGGGCAAGTTCTGCAGGTTTCGAAGCTTGTGCAAGAAGCTTTTGCTGTTCAGAAAGAGCTTTTGATGAAGGTCAAGCAAACTCAGGTTTGTGCTTCCGGGACATTTCTTTCTACATTTTATTTTTTATTCTTTTGCTTTCATAAATGGATCTCTGCTCTGGGGAGCAGCTAATTTCTGTACATTAAGCTTCTGTGCAATGAGGAAGCGTTCAACTGAATCGGTTGATTTTGGTGTCGAATAACGGATTTAGCTTGCATCATTTGAAACAAATTGTTCACAGTTTTAATATTATCCTCCATAACATACTATTTACCTTGGATAATTTAGTGGCAAGTAAACTAAATGCAATTTCATGCTTAGTCAGCTTGCTGAGAATGTTAATACCGATGCGACGATTATAGACCGTGTGCATTGCTGAATATTTGAACTTCTTTCCTTCAGACATAACAGTGAAACTCCATGTTTCATGTAATTTCTGGATATACTGTTACATGTGGAAAGTTCAATGGGGAGTTTTAGAAGAATGAAAGGGGGAATAAGAGCCTCATTACTAGTTGACATCTTGAAACAAGCCGACTAGTATTGCCGCACAGACTCTGAAACACTAGATGTTACGATTTTTCTGGAAGCAAATGATTCCGTCTTTCGTGGAATCATGTTTATGTAGTTGTGTTGGTTAATTTGAACACTATGAACAGAATGAGATTTGAATTTCAATAGTAGCAGGAGGGAATGCATAGATAATTGATCATGTTTCAGTTTTATATTGTGGCATCTGCCATGGCGATGTGCATGAAATGGAAATTACTGACAAATCTTCATTGTACAGAAGCCTGACGTTGCTGGATTGGCTGAATTTCTGAAACCGTTGAATGAAGTGATCGTAAAAGCTAATGCAATGACAGAAGGACGGAGATCTGATTATTTTAACCACCTGAAAGCTGCAGTCGACAGTCTCTCTGCTCTAGCATGGATTGCATATACGGGGAAGGATTGTGGTTAGTGTGCATCATTGTTTCTATGGGGAATTCTTATCTTCTGGTTTCTTATTTATCTTCTTTTGTTTTGAGGTATGAGCATGCCCATTGCACATGTGGAAGAAAGTTGGCAAATGGCTGAGTTTTATTGCAACAAGGTGCTCTCCTTATTCTTTTTTCATGTCAGAAGCCCGCTGATTTTAGTGACTGAAAAAATTTCTTGACTTACTGGTTGTGTGGTCTCCTTTTGTTAACATTGAGGAGGAACGAATAAAGGAGTTTTCTGCAAGTGAAATAGCTTTGGTACTCTTGTTCCTTTATTACATGTTTAGCAAACATTCTGTTCTTTTTTGGTTTTTGAATTGAGAGGAATTTTTTTTATCAACTCCAGTACGTCTGTCCACTCTCTACTTGAGCCGCCAGTTTATATCAGCATAGTGGCTGAGGATAGAAGTGAAAAATGATCACTAAACTCATATTTTGGTGCATCGACTTAATACATTTGACTTTAAATATTATCTTGTATATATTTTTGGCAATATCTGAGGGTCAGAATTTTGTTCACTGTTATTGCTCTAACCTCCTGCGAATTTCATTGCATTTTCCTTATTTCATTTTGGTTGCTATATCATGTATTTTTTGGGTAATAATCAGGTGCTTGTAGAATACAGAAATAAAGACGCAAGTCATGTTGAGTGGGCCAAAGCTCTCAAAGAGTTATACCTACCTGGTCTGAGAGATTATGTCAAGAGTTTTTATCCTTTAGGCCCTGTATGGAGTTCAACGGGAAAATCAATTGCTCCGCCAAAAGCTCCTGCACCTAGGGCACCTGCTCCACCGCCTCCACCACCTGCATCTCTCCTTAGTTCTGAATCATCTCAGGCTTCATCCTCCAAGCCAAAGGAGGGAATGTCAGCTGTTTTTCAAGAACTTAGCACAGGGCATGTCACTGCAGGTACATCATTCCTACTTTTGTGGTTCTTGATTGTTTGTTAGGCATTTATGAACCAAAAACCTTTTCTGCTAGGTTTGAGAAAGGTTACAGATGATATGAAGGCAAAGAATCGTGCAGATAGAACTGGGGTTGTTGGTGCTAGTGAAAAGGACACCCGTGTGAGGACACAAGCATTTTCTAAAGCGGGACCTCCAAAATTAGAACTTCAAATGGGTCGCAAGTAGGTTTAAGCATGTGTATGATTTCAGTTCATCAGTATCCTGTCAACATTAGCCTAACTTTTCTGTTCCATTGCAGGTGGGTTGTTGAGAATCAAATTGGACAGAAAGGCTTAGTCATTGATGATTGTGATTCAAAGCAGTCTGTTTATGTTTATGGTTGCAAAAATTCTGTTTTGCAGATTCAAGGTATTTATAAATATGTGACAAATTCCTTTCGCTAGTTGGCATATTAAGATTTTATGCTCTACCTAAACATGGATGCTTGATGAAAAGGCCATTGACTTGATGACTTCTTAACAATTTGCAGGGAAGGTTAACAATATAACTATTGACAACTGCACAAAGATGGGAGTTGTATTTAAGGTTGGTATTGAAACACAGGAAGTAATGGTTTTAACGGCTTGATTGGGAGTTTTAAATTTGAGTTATCCGAAGCAATTCATATTGGGGCCATCGTCAACTCATTTTGCCATATGCTTGAAATGTAGGATGTTGTTGCAGCTTTCGAAATTGTGAACTCTAATGGGGTTGAGGCGCAGTGTCAGGTAACCCTATCCTTCTTTCTCTTGTCGTGATTGTTGTAGGTTTTTGGGGCTTACTCTTCTGTGATGAAAACTTGGTTCATCAATACTAGTCCTCATATCACGTAGTTGGTTGCTCTGATGTAATATGTTTTTTCTGTTCTAATCTCTTTTCTCTTTTTGGGGCTTCACCCTGTTCCATGTAAGGGCGCGTGTATTCTTTGTATTTTTAATGGCAACAAATTCCCGTTTTTCCTCAGAAAAAGGCCAAAAAAAAAAACTTGGTTCATCAAATATGAATTTAATTGCAATTATGGCCCCTTCGACTGATGTAGGGTTCAGCTCCAACAATCTCGGTGGACAACACTTCTGGCTGCCAGCTTTATCTGAGCAAAGATTCTTTAAATGCATCCATATCTACAGCCAAGTCAAGCGAAATCAATGTGCTAGTACCCGGTACTGAGCCCGATGGTGATTGGGTATGTTCTTATATATCTTATCTTCTGGTCTATTTATTCGTTTAGCATTGAAAAGTTTTGGGTGCTGAGTGGAACTGATAAGATGCTTATTGCAATCATCAGAATCGTATGTATCTCTGTAGTCTTGTTTTGCTAGAATGGTGCGAAATATTTGAAGCAACAGGATATGAAAATGTGTAGCAAGAATATTAGCTTCTGCCATTTTTAGTTAGTGAAAATTCTTCAAGACGTGCTATATTGCTTAGCTTCAACGTTTTGCTAGTTAATGAAATTCTCTCTTGCATGTTAATGCGAAAAGAATCTACACATTCATCTGGCTTATGAAATTCATCGTGTGCGCTTGGAGAATGAATAATTAAATATAAACAATATCACATTACGGTCTTTACTCTAGCAAGAGGGCAGTTTTTGGTGGTTAATGGTGTAGCTTGAGTTTGCTTTCCATTTGAAAGTCGAAGATTATAACATGGCATCAATTTATCATTCTGATAATTACGGTTATTCTAAAAGTGTTAACTAGATGCATTAATGTTGGTCAATAGAATATAATTACTAAAACCTGCACAAGTAACAATGGATTACAATCGTACCATCTGTTTCAGGTGGAGCATTCGTTGCCACAACAATATATTCATGCGTTCAAGGACGGCCGATTTGAAACTACCGCAGCTTCCCACTCTGGAGGTTAATTTGACGGGCGATTCAGAGATTGTACATCTTTAGCCAAGTTCAACGATTGCTGTTTGTGTGGCTTCATCTGGCTTTTCCCTTTGATTCATTTACAATCACATATAGGTGTAATATTATTCATGCCTGGCTGCTTTTTCCACTGGCTTATTGATCCCATGGAAACATCCCAGCGATTTTTTCTTTTTGGGTGCGGAGTTGGCTTCTGCTTGAGTGTGTCTTGACTCCAGAGCTGCAGTGTGTGTTGTGCAGCTGGTTCTGATCTTTAAGAGGATCCATGGAGTTATTTTTGCATTTCTCGTATGTTCTATTCTCAGGTGTTTATTTTGAGTTTTTATGAAATCAATCCGGAATCAAGATCGCTAGTTGCTGGTCCAGGTGAATTCCTTCTAAAGCAAGTTCCACTAGGCCCTTATTTCTCGTAGTAGTCCCATTCTAGGCATTTAATGTCATGTTCGTTGGCTGGATTGATATAGAATTGTACAAGTTGTTGTAGATAAATCCATATAGAAGTTAAGTTAGAGTGAATAAGTAGGATAATTGAGTGAGTGTAAATGATACAAGTTGTTGGGGATGAATCCATATAGAAGTTAGAGTGAATAGGTAGAATAATTGAGTAAGTATAAATGAAAATACTTTATGTGTGTGAAGATAAAAATATATATTAAAAACCTATATGCAATATGCATATATATGGAACTTGAGTAGAATTTTATTTCTATAATACTTATAAAACAAAATTGTTATAAAGATGTTCTTTTTCTTGTTGTTCGTATTATAATATTTGAGATTATCAAAGTCTAAAGCTTATCAGCTGCCACCAAATAAAAAAAAAATAAGTCCAAGTGACCGGTGCCATAATTTAGTGATAAAATTTTAATTGGCTGCTTTATTTTTATTAATATGAATCCCAGGCCCTCATAATTGTTAATTGTATTGTAAATTAGTTTTTAGGACGTGAGGCGGTACAATTCCTCGGCTGTGAAATTGACGACTAAAGCATGGAGTCGTTGAATCTGGATGGCATCGGGCGCGGCTAATGGGCAACGATAATTGGCATCTACGGGTTCGATACGTAGGCGATTGTTAGATGGCACCGCCGTTTTCGGCTTCGCAGTAATAACCTCATCAGTCTACTGGTCCCATCTGTAACCACCGATGAAGAATCGCTAACATTCTTGAAGTTCATCGAAAATATATTACTCCTTCGATTTTTAATATAAGATCTATTTAACTAATTTGATTAGATTAAAAAAGTTAGGTAAATTAGTTAATTCTAAGAAATATGACATATTTTTCCTAAAACACCATAATTATTTTTTTTAATATCTTCTATCCCTCTTCTACTTGATTAAGATTGAGGGAGTATTCATGAGAGTAATTTAGAAAAAATTGATAAATATGTGAAATAGATCTTATATTTAATATTAAAATCAATTTAATAATTAAGTCTTATATTAAAGATAGGAGGAGTAATATGATTAAATGGATATGGAAACAAGTCCTATCACTTATTTTTGTACAAGACGGTGTACCTTGAGCATTTTTTGAGCTGAACTTATTGAATTATGAATATTAATAAAATAAAGCTTTTGAGTTGACGTGACCCCGTCAAGTCATTTTCGAATGAAAATGGAGTAATGGTGCCGGTCGATGTGTAGCCATGGAGCGTGTCCATCCGTGGAGGTAGGAAGAAACTTGACCCGCAGTGTATTTTGTTCACTGTCACTGGGGCCAGTGCTCTTCATTCTTACCCCCACCATCATTTTGTGAAGAATAATTGGGCACACAAAGAGATGCCCAGTCTCACTGATTTACTCTCTGCAATGAATTCTCTCGTACGCCTACTGTATTACTCCTTCGGTCCTTATTATAAGACCCTATTTGACTTTTTTTTGGTCCTAATTATAAGACCCCAATCCTTCTAATTTATGCATTTTTACCAAGATATCTTCTAATTAAAGATATTTTAGCCAATATACTTAATTAGCAAGGATATTTTAGGAATGACAAACACTTATTTATTAAAAATAACCAACTTAACTTACTTCCTTAATCTCCTCAAATAAGTCAATTGGGTCTTATAATTAGGACCGGAGGAGTATCATTTATATGGCAACAGTTTGCTGTGTGAAAACGGGGGATTCAAAGATTTCTCATACTATGTTTTTAGTAATTTAATTAAAACTAATTTAATATTTAGTTAGTCTTAAATATAATATTCTAATATACTTTATCTTTCATATTTATTTATTTTTTACTTAAAATAGTTTTTTGCAGTAGTTACATATATTAAATGTTTTATCAAATAATAATTTTAGTTAATACATGTAATTAGTAAGTATATTTTAGAAAAGATAACACTTATTTATTATAAATAACTTAATTAATTTTTTAATTTATTCAAATTAATTAACTAACTTTTAAATTAAGAGTCAGGCAGTATTTCTTGTTGCCTTCTTCGAATGCTCGTGTTCATAATTGAATCTGCTTGGGGCTCCGGAATTCATCAACGGTGCGTATGGCTGAAAGGTTTTTGATCGTTTGTCCCTGAGAATTGAACTTTTTTAGGATATTCTTAAAATTGACAAACCATCTCATTATCACTCTTACCCACAGTCATTAGGATGAGTGGCAGCATCCCTCATTAAATATTCCAGTTATATTCTTTTAAATGCTAGATTTGATGGTTGAACTTAATCCGAATATTTTACAAATAAAAAGACAGAAAGACTAAAAAGGTCGAGTAATTTGAACCAAAAACAAAAGGTCGAGTTAAAAAGCTCATTTCGTGGTCGTAGGGTTGTTTGGTTGGGATCGGAGAATATCACTTTTTCTCATATTATTCCCTAACTTTACCTTCATATATTTACTTGATCCCATGTATTAAGTAATTATTTATATTAAATATTTTTTAATAATTTTTAAATTATAATTTCAGTTCTTATATTTTATTTTTAATGCTTCGTTTAAATGGGATCTTAATTTTGGCCGAGGCCGTTTCAAAAATACCTGGGATTTTTATCGTTTACTGGTTTGCTTTTATGTAGCTGAACCACTTTCTCCACGAAAAAGAAGAGGAATAAAGTGGCTTCTGCTTCTGCATCTGCATCACATGGGGTCGGAGAGAACCTTTTTTTTTTAATCTCCCACCTTCACTTCATTCATTCAATCCCAGATCATAGTATTCTTCTTGTACTAACTTGAGAAACTTTCATCTGCCCCCCGATGTGGGATCTGTTGTTAGTATTACAGTTCAGTCTTCTCCATGCTACTGCGACGATCCCACATCATCAATGAACTATTATATTAATGAACTGCATAAACTAATTTTGTCCGTCACATTCATAAAATGTATATATTTCTCCTGGTTGTTCATAATTTAACTTGATGTATATGCATATCTATATTATTGCTCCTCCGGTCCTTAATATAAAACCCATTTAACTAATTTGATTAGATTAAAAAAGTTAGGTAAATCAGTTAATTATAAGAAATGTGACACGTTTTTCCTAAAACACCATAATCATCTTTCTTAATACCCCATCTCCCTCTTCTATTTGATTATGGTTGAGGAGTATCCATAGGAGTAATTTAAAGAAAATTGATAAATATAAGAAATGAGTTTTATTTAGGATCAAAACCAACTCAACAGTTGGGTCTTATTTAAGGACAGGAAAAGTATTAAAAAATGAAATGTACCTCGACGTAGCTAAGGAGAAAAGAGGCGAGTCTTAAATTTTGTCCCTTTCTTTATTTTAATTCTTCACCTCAGATCTTCTGGGTAACTTTTTTCCCATTTACCGACGTACCTATTAGTCCATTCAAAAGGAAAACAAATGCTCAGTGCGGAATTAACAGGCAGTTAATGGCCTAGGCTAAAATGGATGAAACCGACCAATGCGCAAATAAATAGGTATACAGCTATAGGTCCCTGTACCAAACTTTTTGCCCTCTCATTTCCCATATATTATAATTTGTAATTTGTGATTGTACCAAAGAGTAGTAACGCTTTTTGTCTTGATTGAATTTCATGAAATGAAAAACAGTCCATGAATCCAGCTAAGCGGGAAGAAGTTGTTTTCACTCAATTCCATGGTCTGCCTCATGCACAAAAAGTCTTTCTACCGTTACCTATTATTATTCTATTTTTCTCCCTCCTCACGTCACCCCATTTCCCATTCTCATTGCTCCCTTTTCTAATTTTTATTTTCATTTGTTTTCTTAACTTTTACATTTCCCTTATAAATCGGCATCTTCTTCAAAGTTTGAACTTCAACGACTTACTACAATACTCCAAATGAACTTCAAGGCAGCCATGTCTTCTTCTTCTCAGTCTTCCATCTTCCTCTGCTTTTGCCTCATCATCCTATTCGCTCTTTCCTTCGCTGGTTAGTTCTTCGTTTCTCCATTCTCTCTCTCATCACTTTATGTTTTGGGATTTCATAGGTTCCCGGGAAAGTTAAGAATACCTGCAAAGCAATTCATGTTACTTTGTAGGAGCTTTCTGTGTGGAATTCCTTGGGAAAGTTAAAAAAGTTTTTGAGCCTTTTTCATCTTGCACATAAAAAGTTGAATTTGCTGATCCTTTCTACTCACTTTTGAAACTTTCTACAACTTTATGTTGTTGTTTGAATTTAGCACTGATACGCTAATGGAACAACTTCATTCTCTTGTGAATTTTGGATTTTGAATTGATTTATCACATTTGCGAACAGCCTATGCAACTGAGAACAACCAACCTTATGCTTAAAAATTTGTACTTTTCATAAATGGCCTCGCTTCTCTTCAATTTTCGATGTTGAAGGGATGCTATTTCATGGATCTTTCTCTGTTTTTCTGTCTTTCAGAGTCGCAATCCTTCATCGGTGTGAATTACGGCCAGACAGCTGACAATCTTCCAGCGCCGGGGCGACGGTCAAGCTCCTGCAATCCACCATCATCTCAAAAGTCCTGCTTTACGGAGCTGATCCGGCCATTCTCAAAGCCCTCGCTAACACCCGCATCGGGGTCGTCATCACCGCCGCCAACGGCGACATCCCGAGTCTCGCCTCCGGTCCTGCCGCTGCCACCCAATGGATCAGCGCAAATGTGCTTCCTTACTACCCAGCCACCAACATCACTCTCATCTCCGTCGGAAACGAGGTGATGACCTCCGGAGACCAGAATCTGATCTCGCAGCTTGTTCCGGCTATGCGAAATGTCCAGCGTGCCCTCAGTTCGGCCTCACTGGGCGGCAAGGTCAAAGTCTCCACCGTACATTCCATGGCCGTGTTGACCCAGTCGGATCCTCCATCGTCCGGATCGTTCAACTCCACACTGCAGGGCCCGCTGAAGCAGATGCTAGCGTTCCTGAATGATAACAAATCGCCGTTAATGATCAACCCGTATCCGTATTTCGCCTACCAGAGCGACCCAAAACCCGAAACACTGGCATTCTGCCTGTTCCAACCAAACTCGGGTCGGACCGATCGGGGTAACGGCCTCCTCTACACTAATATGTTCGATGCACAGGTCAGCGTCGTTTTTTTTTTTTTGAATATTTTTTCCAAAAAAAAATAAAGCAGAGTAAATTGCAACTGCTTGGTAATATTGTACTTAATATTCTATATTATAATTTTATGCAGTGTTTATTTATTTATTTATTTTTTTGGTATCTGACAGTGTTTTTTTTTAAATTATTGCTATAAAATGAGTAAATAAAGAAGAGCTCTTTTTATAATTAATTTGACAAATACATAATTTGTAATTAGGGCGTGAATGAAATGGTACATACTGCTGAGTAGAATATGAAAAGGTCACGTGGAGGACAGTCGCGGCCATGATCTTCTTGTTTCCACGTGTCAAAGTTGCTAGGTTTCCTCGAGGATTCTTATTCTAGAAGGCTCGACTTAAACAATTTTGTGGATATGTTAGAACGTTTCAAATCCATAATTTCCAACTTGAAATTTCGCAGCATATCACTTCTACATGCTTGCGTGACTTCTAGGCAGTTTCCGAGTGACTTACCGCACTATAAATCACTAATAGGATCATGTGGAAGCATTTGACGTTTCTTTGTTGACTAGTTGATTTGCCTTGTAAGGAAAAAGCTACCATATGAAATAAGGAAGCCCATCAAAAAATATTTTTACGGAGACTTCCTTTATACCAAAAATTTGAACCCCTGTTTTGTCTTAATACGTTAAGTCAAATATTTCATCTTGCTTTGTCTCTTATAATTAACCGATTTATTCGGATTTTTTAATTTACCCGAGCTAGTTAATTAATAGTTACATTAAATAACGGAGATTTTGAACAGCTTAGTGTTAATAATACCACATTGAGCAGGTGGACGCGGTACATTCAGCTTTGGGAGCCATTGGATACAAGGACGTAGAGATAGTGGTGGCCGAGACAGGATGGCCCTCTCGTGGGGACCCCAATGAAGTGGGGCCCAGTGTTGAGAATGCCAAAGCCTACAATGGAAACCTCATCGCTCACCTTCGTTCCTTGGTTGGCACCCCTCTCTTGCCGGGCAAATCTGTGGACACTTACATTTTTGCACTCTATGACGAGAACTTGAAACCTGGTCCTGCTTCTGAACGTGCTTTTGGCCTCTTCAAAACCGATCTCTCCCAATCTTATGATGTTGGCTTAGCAAAGTCTGGCCAACAGGTCAGCCCCTTGTCTTCTTCTTTAACATTTTTAGCTGCACCCATCACTGTGAATTCAACATCTCTAAACCTAAAACCTTAAAACATCAGCTTATATGTGTACCTCTCTGATCATTTCTTCCTATCAATAAGTATGATCAAAGATACATTGCAGTTTTCGATCATCCGGGGATTTGGATTAAAGTTGAATGTGTTTGTGTGAATAGGCTCCTCCGGCAGGGTGGTGCGTTCCGAAAGCGGGTGTATCAGATGCTCAGTTGCAGAAAAACCTGGACTATGCCTGCAGCCAAGGCATAGATTGTGGGGCAATTCAAGCAGGGGGTGCCTGTTTTGATCCAAACACAATAGCATCTCATGCTGCCTATGCCATGAACCTCTATTACCAAAAGTTTGGCAGAAATCCTTGGAACTGTGATTTCTCTCAGTCTGCTACTCTCACTTCCCAAAATCCAAGTTAGTTTTATTTCTTCTTCAAGTCTATTTTCTTTGCATGAACTGAGCTATGTTATCTTAGCACTGACTGGTGCTTGAGTCATTATATAACGTATCAGGTCACTTTATTGATCTCTACTGCAGGAAAGAAGTTATTGGATTTTTTTTTTTTTGGGTGGGAAAAAGAAGTGATGATGTATATCAGATGGTAATAGCAGTATCAAGGGCAGTTAAGTAAATAGGAAGGTGGTAGTGGTCTATAAATGAAGTCTTGGAAGTTATAGTCGGTGTCTATTGAATCAAATATTACTCTGTTTACCCTCACTGGAACTTGAACTCCTGAAGAGGACAATCCTGACTAACTATTTTTGCTTGTGTTCTGGTGGGGTGAAACAGATCATAAATTAAGCGGAATGATGTCGTGTTCAGTGGTTTTTTTAAGTATTTAATTATTTCACTCCTTTTTGCAGGTTATAATGGTTGCGTTTACCCTGGCGGCAGCACCTAAGAAAGTAGAGCCCTTAATTTATCGGCAACAAAAATACTTTGTGAATAAATTGTATTAGAATTAATCTGATGAATAAGGGGTTATTTTTTGCCCTCCTAATTTATGGCCTTTTAATCTTGTTCAGCTTAAATTGTCACAAGATGTTTCAAATTTTGGCGGTGTTTTATGATTATCCTTTTTCTAGTTTTTAGGAACTTGTTCCGTTTTTATTTGCTCGTAACTTCAGATTCAAATGTGTATGGATATCCCGGAATGAAGCATAATAGTGTTTGGCTTTCTTGTTCTCCAGATCAACTTTTCTTAAACAAAATGACAAGTATTTTATAGTTTACTACTTTGTGAGTGCAAAGGATCCCCATGCGATATTAATGCATTAATCATTTATTCATGACATGAATGTTACTTTTACACGAAAACGTTTACGAATAAATTTTTTAATGGTGACAAGTTAATATTTTAATGAGGTTTTTAAGTACAGTATGTAGAATTACAAAAGATCTCCGTATTCTAAAATTAAAGTAAAGCTTGTTAAAAGGGACAGAGATTTAATTTAAAAAGGTGTATTTAAATATAATGTCAATTCTCGAAAGAGTCAAAGAAAATGAGAGCTGTGAAAGAATAAGGCACGCAGTGAAGGCTTGGGGATAATTGTCCGCCAAGGTCTTATCCTGAGAATGCTTAGAGAACCTTATCTCCATTTTTTTTTTCCTGGTGCCGGGATTAAACAACCTTAATATCTTGTTGCATTTTATCAGTCAACTACTGTAAATGGCAAATGCCTTGTCCAGGTTTAGTCCCTTATCAGTTATCAATAGTTAAGAAAGCACCAACTGAAATCGCTTCTTCATCTTGGAACTCGTCTTCTTCCGATCATCAATCGGTTGATTCAGTGCTTTAGTTGATCCATCCGTTAGAGCTCATCCAGCGTAGCGGAGCAATTGCATCTCAGTAAACAAATTAATCATGTTGTCCCAGCTCCTACGAAATCCGTTGTCGTCCAGCGGTTAGGATATCTGGCTTTCACCCAGGAGACCCGGGTTCGATTCCCGGCAACGGAAATTTTATGCCTCTTCGTTCGCTTTAAATTTTCTTCCTTTCTTCTCCTCTGTTTTCGTTTTTCCTTTTTTTTTTTTAAAAAAAAAATAAAAAGTTGTAAATAACATCGATTCTTCGTACAACTTATGCCAGAAATCTTTACCCAGTTGTGTCAAATTCCTTTTTATAATCAAACTCTTTTCTCACAAACACCTGCTTCAAAAATCGTGGTCAATGCTCTTAGGTATAATTACTGACGATGATAATGATCATGAATATAACACTTAAACAAATTAAACATGTTTCCTTTTAATATTTTATAATTAACTGTTTTTTTTAAAAAAAAAATATAAGCGTGTTGGTCATCGCTCCAAATGGGGAGGCTAATCATCACCAATACGCAATGCTTATTAAGATATTAGCTTGTCGACATTTTCAGACGAAATGGTCAACCTCGTTATAGTTGGATGAGGTTTGACATCAGTTTGAATTGTCAAAATAAGATGGCTCTAAAGAACTTACTGCTATAATTTTGGTCCCCTCTTATTATTTTGGCCAGAAAAATGTTCACGTCATTATCATTTAATTTCCCCCTTCCACACAGTTATCTCTTACACGGCATAATTTTTGTGCTCCATAAAACATTAATCAGAACATGTTTAAATAACATTATTTCTATTTCACAAAAACTATACTCATTTGACCTCAAATTGTCCGATTAACTAATAATTAATTATGCATCTATGAAATATTTTAGATAGCATATTTTATATAGTATTACTATTTTTTTGCCAACATTATATTTAGGTATTCATACGATATGAATTCACATACGATATAACATTATAATTCATAATTGAATATACACACACACACACACACCTAATTAGTAAGAGAAAGGAAAAAAAAGCAGAAAAATTACAAAGCGTAATGCGATGGTGGGTCCCTCAAACACGTTGGAGTCGGACAGAAGAGGTCTACGTATGAAGACACATAGACAGAAGTGGGCCCGGCGGCGTCAGTCCCTTAACAGCTGCAGCTCAGCTCGGAGCATCCTTTTTCTTTTCTTTTCTTTTCAATACCTATCAGCCTATCATTTCATATTTGCCCACCTATCAAATTATTCTCATTTCGCCGGCCTCTGCCACGACCACCACCGGCATCTTGCTCCGACTCGAAACCTGCTTCTCCGTTCAATTCCACGACCTAAATTTCACACCCTGCTATATTCCCTCCCCACTTCCCACAATGGCTTAGGGCTCAAATCGAGCATGTAGGTGCACCTATTACCGATTCGGTATCCCACGACAAATTGCTCAGAACGAGTAAAATGTCTGTTACGGAGCTCAAGGAGCGTCACTTGGCGGCCACGGAGACGGTGAACACTCTTAGGGAGCGGTTGAAGCAGCGACGACTTTCTTTACTCGATACAGATGGTATAATTTTTTAATTTTGAGCTTTGATGTTTTCTTGTCCAAAGAGTTACTTTCAGATCCAATCCACTGAACCACTTGATTGATAAACTTCATAGTTGCTGGATACGCGAGGTCTCAAGGTAGAACTCCTGTTAGCTTTGGTCCTACGGATCTCGTCTGCTGTAGAACTTTGCAGGGTCATATGGGGAAGGTAATTTATGGTTCTGCAGAAAGTTAGTTCCACATCTTATTCGTAAGTATGTGTGTTTAGATATGTGAATGCCCTCGCACCAGGTTGTTTTATTTGTGTGTTCTTCCCGTGTAATGTGTAACTTATTTTCAGCTTAATCTTGGTGACCTCCTATGGTTTTAAGGGCCGACAGATACTCGTCTGTTAGTCAGACTGATCGAGTATGGAATTAGCTCATCAATCCTGGTTTCATGTATTAAGATTCGGAACAAAATTACTTAACGAAACTGACAAGATGACAGGAAAGGGGAAGGGATTGATGGCCTAGTAATTCAAGATTATTCAGGGTGAAAGCATTGCATTTATCGTTAAACTTGCTATTCTATCAAATTATATAAGATTATTTGTATATATCTTTAAAAGGTTAATTTACAGGTTAACAGATCATAATCTTGAATGGAGCAGATTATGTACTTGGGTTGTCTGGACTACAGAGCTTAGCTTTCTCTCTTATTTACTGGAGTAATTCTAGCGCTTTGTTCAGTAATGATTTACTTTTATCTCTATTTCTGCTGGGGCAGTCATGGAGAAAGTTATCATATTAATGTTATTGGTCCATTCGTAATCTTAATTTTGAGAACGCTGATGTTAGGCATAGCTTATTTATACTTGGTGAAATATGCCAACACGTTAGAAATATTTTCATGATTTTCTAATATACCACAATGACTGCACGTATTGTAATTCTAACCACCAGCCTTGGATATTTCAAAATTCAGATTAATTTCTCGATCATGAAAATTTTGCAGGTATATTCATTGGATTGGGCATCTGAAAAGAATAGAATTGTTAGTGCATCCCAAGACGGACGACTTATAGTATGGAATGCTCTTACTAGCCAGAAAACTCATGCCATAAAGCTGCCTTGTGCATGGGTCATGACCTGTGCTTTCTCGCCAACTGGTCAGTCTGTTGCATGCGGTGGTCTTGATAGTGTTTGCTCTATTTTCAATCTGAACTCCCCTACTGACAGGGATGGTAATCTGCCTGTCTCACGGATGCTTAGTGGACATAAGGGTTATGTCTCCTCTTGTCAGTTTGTTCCAGATGATGACACTCACCTAATTACCAGTTCTGGTGATCAGACGTGTGTTTTGTGGGACATTACTACAGGCCTTAGAACATCTGTTTTTGGAGGTGAATTTCAGTCCGGACATACTGCAGATGTATCAAGGTATTTAGGTGATTGCTGAATTTATTTTCCTTCCATTCCCCAGAAACACACACCCACACACCAAGAAAAAAACACAGGAAGGTCATGATATTTCATTGCCAAATGTTCAACATGCTTGTTAAACGTAGAATATACATCATCTTCCTATCATATAGCATACATCCCATCTCCCATCTCAAGCAAAAAATTAGCAATGAATAAAAACTATCTATTTGATAATGTGTAGTGTAAATTGTCTTAACTGTAATGTTTCTGGATCCCCTTGTCTAAATATGTTTCGGTTAAATTTTATATCTTTAATTTTAAATCCTTAGAAACATTGCTTTGCTCTCTTGCAGCATTTCTATCAATGGATCCAATTCAAAATTGTTTGTATCTGGTTCTTGTGATGGAACTGCCCGATTGTGGGATACGCGTGTGGCAAGCCGAGCCGTGCAGACATTTCATGGGCATGAGGGAGATGTTAATGCTGTCAAATTCTTTCCTGATGGAAACAGGTTTGGAACTGGTTCTGATGATGGAACTTGCCGATTATTTGACACTAGAACTGGACACCAACTACAAACATACTATCAACAGCACAGTGACAATGACACCCCACACGTGACCTCCATTGCATTCTCCATATCAGGAAGACTTCTTTTTGCTGGATACACGAACGGTGATTGCTATGTTTGGGACACTTTATTGGCTAAGGTAATTAGGGATTTGTTGTACATTAAATAAAGTCAACTCATTTTTAAATCAACATTTGACTGTGGAATCACTTTACTTTTCCTTCCACATCACCTGTCCAAAGAAATAAAGAAAGTAAACTATGTTTCTGCAATAAGGTACTCTCAGGCAAAGAACTAAGTGTTTCAGGCAAATACATCGACCTTTTTTATTTTCTAATGAGAAATTCTATTTTGCCGCTTCATCATATGATGTGAGATTTTAATAGCTTGCTTCATGTGCAAAATCTTATAATCCTTCATCAGATGCGAAAGTGCTGTATACCTTTCCTACTTCGCAAAATTACAATATGTTCGGGAACCATCTATGTATACATTAGCTCAAATTACCTTTCGATATTTCTATGTGCAGCAGTTACTTTATTATTATTTTGGATGAAAATAGTTAATTTGTTTGACGCATTACTAGTAAATATCACATTATTTCCTTGTCACATATTTCTTTTTCTTCTTTTCTCCCTTGAGGCAACTCAAGTAGTCTTCAATGCTCATCATTATAACTGTAGCATGTTGGAACTTCCAGCTTTGAAAAGTCTGAGTCCTTTGTCACCTTGGATTGGGTGCTAGGAAGAGTTTATATGAATTATTCAAGATGGCTGGTTGAGGATTTTTTTTCGTTTTGTGAAAAGGCAAGTCAACAGAAGCTAAAAAAGAGCACGAATTACAGCATTATTTTAGGCTTCTATCTCGGCAAACTTTGCATGCTTCTTTTAATTAATAGCAGTAAGGATAGAATACGACACCCTCTTGGAACATCTAGAGGTACCTTGATTTCATGGGCACAAGTTGTTTCTCCCTTTCTCTCATTATCTATGCTTGCTTATGTATTTTGTAAACTAATTAAAACTTGCTTCCTTGTTCATTGCAGATGGTATTGAATTTAGGATCTCTTCAGAACTCTCATGAGGGCAGGATCACCTGTTTAGGTTTGTCAGCTGATGGAAGTGCCTTGTGTACAGGAAGCTGGGACTCAAACTTAAAGGTGAGCATGCATTTTGGCCTATTTTATGCACTATGAGTTACGCGAGACCATTGGGTGCTCCAACTCTTGAAATCAGCTTGCATGTTGGGTTGAGACTTGTTGAAGATTATGATGGAGCCCATGGAACAATGATGAAGGACTGATCGAACAAAATAGATATGCGATACAAAAGCAAGAAAACGCCCTCCAAAAAGAAAAAGGCTAGGCCTTTAAAAGACTAGCAGTCTGCCACCCTGAACTGCTCTACAATTTCTCCATCCTATTTTCGCAGTCCTTCTATTCCTTACCTTAACTATCTCTAGAAGCTCTCCCTAGAAAGCCAACACAAATCCAATGTCTTGCTCTGTCTAAAAGCCCCAAAACTGTTCTAGCAACCTTCCTTGATCCTTTTTGTGAGCCATCCTTTTGCTTAGGTCTCCCAGAACGGGACCTTTCAATCAGAAGGCCCTCTGTTTGTTGGTCGCTGGATTTCCACAAGAACATTGAAGCTACTATTTTTTTAACTCAATGCTAAACTGAAGTTTTGGGATTTAATTCTAAAAGACAAAGAAATGCAACATTACTAACAGAAACATGACAAGCCTATAGTGATTTGACATTTACAACACATTTATATCAAATGTATCTTATCAATTTTGTCCGTAAGTGTTAAGGTAGGTGCTAGGCTAATTGTTATCTCAAGTGAATGTAGTATTCCTTTCATCAGCAGCAGTTACTTATAAAAGCTTTGGGTTGTGAGTGTGGTAGTATTAAATTTGCTATTCTCCAATAGGCAAGTGCCAGTCTGTGAGAGTGGTTGCTGGAGTGTTTCCTTTTCTTTTGGAACTTGTGTGTGAATTACTCGGCATCATCCCTTATGTGAGCTATGCATTGCTTTCTCCAACAAATGAATACTAAGCATTATTCTAAGTGCTCTCTTGCAGATTTGGGCTTTTGGAGGGATTAGAAAGGTGGTGTGAACTATGGAGGAGCCAAGATTTTCCATTTAATATTACACGGCGTCTGAGGTCCAATATAATTGTTTGGTGATGCTTGTGATGGTTGATTTGCAGACGAATTGCATGGAAGGGGGCAAAGGTTATGTGCTCTACTATTTTAACTAGTGTTGCAGTTTGTTTATCCTCATGTCAGTTTGTCCAAGTGTGTGATCTAGGATTTCCACTGTATTAACCACCGTGGTACCTGCACATTAAACGTAGAAATGAAGGACCATATATTTTCTTGTCTGTTGGTATATTGCCAAACAACATTGCTGTTACGTACTTATTTCTCAGTTTGAGGATGTTAATTGCTTAAAAAGTTCCGCTCGGCATGTCCAGTGGAGGTATGGACTGTGCAGCTCCGAGGGAGGGACAACTTGCTTAATAAAAGTAAGATGAAGTCGCTGCAATCGAAAATTGAGAGTTTATGTCTCTACAACCTATAAAATTGACTTTTGCCACGGCATTTGACTTCTATGAGATAAGTTATCTCTGTTTTGGCTCATAATATCTTAAGTTAGCTGCTTACTTAAAACTTACGCCTGCTTTTATTATTATGGGTTTGGCAACCTCGAGTACGACTTCAGATTATAGTGTGGATGCTTTTTGAGGAGCTTCGGAAATTTTCGGGGCTTTAGGTCTATCAATTTTGCCATAGATATCCTGACCATGATTCGCGAAGCGAACATCGGGTAACCATGAACAAGAAACACATCTAACAAAGCAATTGCCATTGAGCATTGGGCAAAAATTTAGTTCATTAACTCCGCAGAAGGCAAAGCCTAATTATTAAAAAAAAAAAAAAAGGATCTTTCGTCTTGCTACAAGGGTATGCAACTTACTCTCAAACGCCCAAAATGATGCCGCCTATTAGCCGGAATGCCGCAGGCACAGGTGCGGGTCGAGTGTCCCATCTTCCAACTCTTTGCAAGTCTTTACAATTAAGTCTATCTATCTGTATAGCTGTCTTAATTCCCATATCAAACCGTAACAAAGAATCTTTACTCTCCCAAAAAAAAAAAAAAAGTGAATGGCCGAAGTCAACGTTGCTTGACTTTGATGAATTTACTAGCCGCTTGCCACAATTTCATGAATGGCATCACTGACTGTTTCATCCTCGGATCTAACAGCCAATTTCATCGCTACATCCTTGGGACCATCGAGTCCGAAAGACACCTTCACGAGCACCCTCACATTTCCTATGTATACACCTGACAATACGCATGCGTGTGACCTTGCATTGGGCTGTACTGCCTCTGTGCCCTGCACAAGCAAACAAGTACGGAGTTAGATGCCAACTTCCTTCCCAGACGTTTTCAGTAAAGTGATCAATCATACACCAAAGATACTCCACTTTATCCATCTGCCTTCTGTGAACGCGTGTACGCAACATTTTACACAACTGGGCACCGGGCTAATATGTATAATGCACTTAACTTAAACGTTGTATATCAATTCTGGGAATAAGTCCATCATCATAGGATGCACATAATACTGGTATTTTGGCAGTATCTAACAAAAATACTGAAGCTCCAAGAGAATCGTTGAGCTTACCTCACAGGGCTGCATGCCAAGAAGATTGATGACAGTATTTACAGCCTCAGCCAAGCTCTCTCTTGGGCCAAGACCATATTCATCCACCCGTTCACAATCAGGGCCCATGCTTTCCCACGCATTCCTGAAATTAGACACCCCCACTTTCAACATGTAATCTGCTGCGACAACCTCCAGATCCTCCAGTTGGTATTCATCTTCAACACCGTCATCTTCTGCCTCACCAGTGGTTGGGTCAACCTGATGAACATCCGAAGCAGCGATGAGATTGACACAACTATTATAGGTCCCCCCCCCCCCAAAAAAAATATATATATTATAGCTTTTCTGTTCATATACTTCCTCCCCGATACAAAATGAAACAAGCTTCATGTTTAAATTATTGAATATATATACCTATTTAAGACGCCACTATTTAATAGCACTATATATAAAATAAAGAGAGAAGTAGCTGCTTTCTAACATAATTGAAAATTTTGATTAAGTACAGTTCATGACAAACACAAAAGCTTTGTGATAAAGAAAAATACCTCTTTAACATAAAATTTCAGAACATTGGAAAATTTTCCAACTGTCGGCAACCCATCAGGCTTTTCAAATGCCACAAAAGTCTGTCCTGGCGAATCATAAGGAAGTGACCTGAGAGGCTTGGAGAGCACCTCAGAAAACTCCTCTGCTTCTGAAGCATCAACAATAACAGTAACCTGAAAAAGAGAAGAATTATAAAGAAAACTTGGCCTGCAACTGTCTTATGAAGTTGTACTGTATCTAATTGTTCTTACATCTTCCAGTGATTGCTCTGGTATTGTGTTTGTGCAGTTGTACTGGAACACGACATGCCTGTCAAAAATGTGTTTAACAACATTCACTGCATATTCAGTCCCTGCTTCAGTAAGCTCCACAGGTGCTGAGGACTGTAAAGATGTAATGCTGTCATCATACGTTTCATCAAATTAAGACAGGAAGTGAAAAAAAGAATCAAGTGAACGAACTTTGAAAAGCTTCCCAAAGTCTCCAAACTCAGGAATCGAGGAAAGCAGCTTTTCATATGCATCTGCAGTTGTTGGAGGGCCACTTGGAGGAGCACCCAAACCAATTTGCTTTTTACCAGGGGCTTTCTTCTCTACAAATGAATGAGTTTTTACTTCCTTGGGCACAGAGTTAATGTCAAAAGACTCCTCTGAAGGCTCCTGCATTCATGCTAAATAGATTTAGACGATATCCATAACTCATGGAAAGCAGCAAAAAAGGCGAGCACTTACATAGTTTTTCAAACTAGTCTCCAGATTGACTAGTGGGACATCAAATAACCCAAAAAGGAAGTCCTTAGCAGTTTTGTCAGTCTCAACAACCAATCCATCACCTCCAAGTGTGCTCAAGTAGAGTGTTGCCCTATCGCGTACCTGCAAACACACACACACACAGAGACAGTTATACAAATATGGATCTCAGGGATTATTATTATTTATTATTATTTTCCGCACCTCCAGAATGGCAAAAGGGGGAAAGCGGTTCAGAGTTCATGCATACTTTTTAAAATGTGCCAAGACAGGAATCAAGTAGCATGGAATTCTTAAGTAATATAGATGCTTCGTGTGATAACTAAAGAAAGTGATTCTTTATCATTGACAGCATACTTTCAAGGGCAGGTTGCCCACACCTCCGTGGGTCCTACCATGCCACAAGCATTTTTACATTAGAAACTCATTGATAATTCTGTATATGATCAAAGATTTTAACGACTCGATTTTACTTTTAGAAGCATTAGTATAAGCTCCGATTAGATAGAGAAACAAACCTCATCATCACTGTCAAAAAGGCATCGCCTTAGCAAAACAAATATCCGAGGCTGAGAGTAAGCATGACATTCCAAATTTAGTTAGTATATATCTCACAATGAAATCAAAAGTTTTAAAGGAAATTCATTACAAGGTAACAGGTAATATAAGAGGAAAGTAATACCTTCAATGCATCAGCTGAAGCAGCAAACCTTGCCAATGTGCTCACAGCACTGGCCCTAACGGTTGCATTCTCAAGATGTACTCTATTATATATGTATCGTATAAATTTACTTGGGTCAGCTGTTTTAGGCCCTTCAATTCCCAGGAAGTGCAGTATCTAATGTACAAGGGAAAGAAAATAATTAAACATGGTAGAATGGCAAAAGTGTGAACTGTAAATGGTAAAAGATGAAGGATGAACGAAAATAATACCTGGGTGGACAAATAGGTGAACTCACAGTCTTCAATGAACTCACAAAGATGAAGCAGTCCACTCTCCTTGGCTTCAGGGATGTCTCTAATGAGAATTACAATTGAATCAACAATTGCCTTCTTGTACTCAAAGCCACCTTCTTCCCTGAGAATGTTGCTCAGGAAGTTCATCCTGAGATCAATAATAGAATACCAGCCTGTAAATAGATCATTTACTAGAAGAAATATCCAAAGAAAGTTGCAACCACAGGGAGAAAGGAACTTATGGTATGATATGCCTACTCACAAAGACCGATATTTTAAGGGAAACTTCAAACACAATGATCTTATTGCTTCAACCACAACAATTTTGAACTCATCAGCAATATCTGACATGAAATTTGTAATTTGCTTCATAAGACGATCCACACTTGACTCATTTCCAGTCTTCAGAAGTGTAGTTATTGCAAGTGTGGCAACACTTCTATTCTGGTCAGAAATTAAACTTTCCATATCAATGTTGCAGTTAGTGACTGCTGCTGCATGTGTCATAGCCACCTACAAAGTTCAAAGTGTGATTGGAGCAAAAAGAATGGTCAGTATTCATCCAAGGCACCGTTCAAGAGATTAGCAAGGTTAAATTATTTTGAAGAGTTATTGTTTTAAATGAACTGAGTGCCTTTTTGGTATCTGGGGTTCTCCAAATATATAAAAAATGTTTCTTCATTGTTACTCCCATGGAACTTTCCAAAGCCTAGATACTCCTGTTTTACAATTCATAAATTTTGTACAAGAGCTACTCCTCTTTTACTCCAATTTTTATACTACAGTTAAAATCTTGTTTTCCTTCCCTTGGATTTTTACATTGCAGCTAGATCATTATTTACAGAGTTTTCAAAGCCTAGCTGTTTTTTTTTTCTCCACCCTTTTTTAAATATTTGTATTACCGCTGCAGCTTCTTATCACGCTTTATTTTTCCAGTTTCTCAATTTTCATGACATTGCGCCACATTACTATCTGGATTACCTGTCATTACACTTTTATTGAACATGTATTGCTATAAGCTATTTTCTTGACTGAGTAGTTGATTTGCATTAGTAATTTAACGTACAATAGTATGTATATTCTCCCCCTTTGTTTATATGTAAATTGTATGTCCCTTGGTTGAGCACCAATTTAGTGCTTCATGCCACAAAGGCACCCTCCCCATTAGGCTACACTGAATAACGCTCAACTCCAGTGAGGTGTTGTTCAAATATCTTATTAAAAAATCAAAGGGAGCATCAAATAATCAAATAACTTATGGTGAAATTTAAGTAAATATGGTTGACCTTGTTCAAGGTTCGGACAGCAGCAAATCTTAATACAGGCTTAGATGAACTCAGGAAGAGTTGGAGAACAGTAATTGCTGGAGTTAATTCTCTGCTTGTAACACCATTAAGCTCTGTAATTGCTCTGGCAGCTTCAAAAATCACCATGTCTGACTTGCTGCGAAGGCAACTCTCAAGATAATCATAGAAGGGGCGATCCCCAGTCTGTGTATTATTACTTGACTCACGAATAACCTGCAGAC